TTTTCCTTTTATCCTTTCCTTCTCCTTTTTTCACTTTTTCACTCTTTTTTCACTCTTTTTAAAAAAATAACAGAGAATACGTCTGTACAATTTGACAGCTTTTGAAAATGTAAACAAGTATCATAGAAACATTTATAAATTGCTAATCAATAAATTGCTAATCAATATTGCCTTGACAACCATTTAAATATGAACTGTCAAAATATATTTTTGCACATGACAACATTGAGATAACCAATCAGCGTCGCGATAAAACTGCAACAATACACTTTGATACTTTCGAGATTTCGATATATTCGACTATCGACTTCTCATGCCTTTTTTAAGAGTGGATACACAAGCGATTGTTTAAAACAATTGAGTTTTATTTTTATGTTTACTAATATGATAGTGTTAATAATAATTTCTAAACGATATATAATTGATGTGGCAGAATGTATTGCAAACAAGAATGATTCATGCCGCGCCGCTCCTGATGGCGCGAAATGCGAACCCCGTAATTGGTTAACTTCAAATGCATTTTATTCAAAAACTATTGACCCCACAATTTTCTTGTACGGACATTTTTTACTCACGTTATCGAAATCTATCCACTTCTTCAAGAACCAGCGTTTGATCTGAAACACCCTGTATATGTATATTATATATTACATACTTATTATGAGAAATTCCCATTACTCGCTGTCCATTGGCATCGTATCCTACATATTCCAGTCCAAGACTCATGTCCTGAAGTTGTCCCGATTTTGTGAAATCAGAAGTTAATTTGCCAGTTGCTAGCATTACGTCTCTAAAGTTGATGGACGAATAGACTACACGTACTATATCTTTGCGATGAGAATCAACTGATATATTGTTTCCATCCAACGAAAAGAATCTAAATCACCACAAACCTGTAGAAAAATATTCGTAAAATAAATAAATGTATTCGTTAGATAAAGCGCGAGACACTTTTTAGAAAAATTTTATATATAATATATCACAACAGTATTTAAAACTAAATAATTCACAATATTAGTGTATTAATAGCATTGATAGATTATTTAAATTTCTGTAAACAGCTTTATATACCATTTGGCATACGTAAGCAGTAGGTACGGATTCGACTTCTGGATGCGGTATTCGCAAATGTCGATAAGATCCCCAAGTTTTATTAGGTCGCAAAACATTAACACTCATATCTTTTTCTAATTGTTGCATATAGAACGGATCCTGTAGAGAAAATTTTGGAGCATTCTTGTCTTGAATAAGCACACCTCTAATCAGTTGTCCACCTAGCTCTTCTCTCAAACAGTTAATAAAACCCAATATGCCGCATTCAAAGTCTCCCTCTCCAACAATTACGATTCTGCTATTGTCATCATGTTTATTCTCGTCGTCTACAAGCTGCTTTAAGTCTTCGAGCCAATTAAAATTATTATTATTTATATAGACAACAATTGTATTTTTTATCGTAACTTTTTTCTTTAAAAGTGTAATTACTTCTTTATTCATACGTTTTTCCAGAATAACACTTAATGCATATTTACGCAAATATTTGTCGTAGTTATTTATATTGCATTTTTCGCGTGTTAAGAGATAACCGCCTTCCCTCAAAAGAGGCAAAAGTTTTTCTAATGAATTCTGATGTTTCGTCAAAAGATTGAATCCTGTAGCTATCAAAGCTTTGTCGCCAATAAATGGTTTGTTTAAATCTACGACCGAAACATTTGAAGACAGCTCTGCTGGATTGAAACGATTCGGCGATGTTAGTATAGCAATATTTGCTTTTATTAAAGGAATATCAGCAAAAGCTTTAATCAGTAACGTCGATGATAGATCTTCTAACATTACATTATCTGCATCTTCCACTAGTTCAATGATTGTTGCTTTACTGATCTGATGATCCTCTAACGCGAGCTGCGTCGATATTCGAATTGTTTCATTTAACGAAATATCAGCGCGATCTTGGTGAGGTATAAATTTATACTCTTCGATAACGGGATTTCCAATTGGTTTTCGGCGAGAAATCGAGGTAACTTTCAAGCCGCGTATCTCTATTCCACCAGATTTAATTACGTCTATTTCTTTATATATACGTATTGGTATTTCTGCAATAAGGCAATTTAAAAATATTACATTTTGAAAGATAATTTTTTCGATATTTATTTAATTGGAAGTATGGTTCTTACGTTTATTTTTTTCGGATGTCACGTCCCGCAACGTTGATGCGTGAAGTGCAGGATTAATTACCAATTTTTCAATACTCGTTGGAATATATAAGTTTCTGGTATCTTTTCCAATTATATACATCTGCAGCATATTGTCCATGAATGTTACCCAATTACCTGTCCAAGTGATATGCCCTTTGCTGCCTGAGACTGATGCGCTATTCAAACCACAGAATGCATCGCTGTATTGATAACCGCATAGTCTTAATTTCTTATAAATGTCTCGAGAATTCATACATTCTTCCTCGTCAATATCCATCGATAACAGATTAATCGGCACCATTTCTTGTTCAGCATTTGATGTAGCGTGCACTACACCTGTTACAACAGTGCTATCTCCTTCAGTGATTTCAAATTTGCCGCTTTCTACAAGAATTTTACATCGAATATTACATGTTATTACAATTATTTAAAATTTTTTTAGATGAATAAAATTTTACACATACCTTTCTGTATCACAATTGTCAAATTCACCGGGCCATCTTTTGAAAAATGAGTAGTCCGAATAAATTCTATATCTCGAAATACTATTGGAATTGATGTGTGTATTTTGTTCTTCGTCATTCCAATGGTTTCCCAAACAAGCATTAGATAACCTGTCACAGGTAGCAAATTTTTTCCGTCAATGACGTGACCGGTCATATAATTATAATCTTTGTCGTCCGTCATTATTTCTACTTGTCTTTCTCTGGATTTGATGTGCTTATGTGTTTGATATTTATATACAAACCAATCTTCAGAATGATTCCATCTGATGATATTAAAACGTTTTTTATACAATTATGTCTTTATTTACATATACAATATTTAGATTAATTTTAATAATATATTGTACCTTATAGATGGGGAGATCATAGGAGTGCCTCGGCTAACCGGAAAATTCACCGGCGGATACAAATTGGCGATCCGCGGTTGGAAGCCACAGTTGTAGAGTTCTCCAATCCCTCGCAGTACTAAATTTATAGCATTTGGTTCATTTTGCTTAGTCAATACAATATTCGTTATGTATTTTGCATGTACCGATTCTTTCAAAATGTCCTGCAAAATGCTAACTGGTGAAATTTCGATAATCACGGCGTTATCTGGGATCATATGCGTTGTTTGTTCAAAAAGAACAGTATTTAATATACTACTGGTATGGTAGCTTGCTGAGCATAATTTTGACGCTACATTAGACCATTTATAGCGAGGTACAGAAGTGCTGATCCATTTTGAACTCCGTTCTTTTGGTTGTGGTATTATTTGGTTTAAATGAAATAATAGTTGCGTTTTCACAAATGCGAGGTAACGACTATGGTACGATATGTTATTACAAGAGATTTCTTTCACGTCAATATTATTATCCTGATTAAAAAAGATAAAAGATGCATTAGCGAATGCGATCAATGCAAAAAACTAAAAATTTTCTGTTTTTAGGAATATAAAAAAAAATGTGTGATAAGCGTTTAATTGTGTATGAAAAAAAAAAGGAAATTGATTATTCATATGTAAACAAAAGATCAACGTACCTGTAATTTTTGTATAAATTTTTCTATGGATTTTACGGGGCCATTTACAATATTACTGTTTCGACTGTTACGGCATATTATTTCTATATCCGTCGGACATGTGCTTTTAAGAGCATTGTAATCAAGATTAACAGTTATCATAGAACTATGAACAGATTTGCCTTTAGTACATGCTATTCCAATAAAGTACGCTGATAGAATTGTTTGTTCCATAGTTAGACACCCATCCGCATAAGCACAAGCGAGTTCACCAGCAAAATGCCCAATTATATAATCCGGAATAATATTTAAGCATGTTAGGAGATCTACTAAACCAATCTACGAAATAAATTTATTAACTTTATTACTAAATTTTATATTAAACGACAAATACTATTTGTACGTAACAAATTATATAATAAAACAAATATGGCATAATTAGATAGAGAAATTCATATTTTTATTTATTAATATGTACAATATACCAATTTTTTACTTGGAAATGTAATACCTGGAAGGCGATGATACCAACAAAGTTGTGTAAAGCGCTTTCGTTTAATCTTTTATCAATCTTCGTCAAAATGTTCGTAATACTTATATCATACGGTTTTAAAATAGCATCGCACATTTTTACGGCATTCGCAAATGCGTGAAATTTTAATAGCTCTTTACCTGATAAAGTTAGTTTGAAAATTGCTGTATTATTTTATTAATCAGTTTGTACATATAAAAAATGTTGAATGTTAGATACATACCCATTTCTGGCAATTTCGATTCTAAGGCAGAGAATACAAAGCAAATAGGTCTTTTTATATTTTTACAATTTTGAACTTTTTTTATGGAATTTTTTTGTGCATCCAGTATAATGTATCCTCTCCATGAATGATCATCTATGTCGTCTGTGTGAATGTCGTGTAGTAAACGAATATATTCTACATCTATTGGATGATTAGCAATCTACAAAGTAAATGTTTTAAAAGTATATGTAGTATACGTAATGTAATATTCCTTGCAGTTAAAAATAATGTTAGTGCTGTCGCTGAAAAAATTACTTACATCATTTAGAAACAATTTCACTGATTCTTCAGTGCGTCCAGACAATACCACAAGTCTTGGCAAATCATTATTAGGTGCTCTATTATTAATCTTTTTTTTGGCATTCCATTGTAATAAGGTGTGAGCATTGGCTCCACCGAATCCGAAATTATTTATGGCTATATAACCATTTTTAAGCGGCAATGCTTCTGTGACAACACGGATAGTTCCATCCTTCAAAGCGTCTATATCGTTCCGCGGTGATGTAAAATTAATGTTTGGTGGTACAAAACCGGTTTCAAATGCTATTATCACCTTTAAAAATTAATAAATTTTTGTATGTAAATTTGAAACACTTATAGTATTTGATTTATTTTCTTTGCTGTTAGACAAGTATAAAATTAATAACACAAAATTTAATATTTGCTATGCTAAAACGCTTCAGCATAAGAAGAATCTTTGTATTCGTTTGTATTCAAAACATAATTTTTTTTGAATAAATAAAAAATTTATAGGTATTATTTTATTGAAAAAATTAGTAATTATCACATTTAAAAAAAGTTGCTACTGTTTAATGATCTTTTTTAACAAAATTAGTAGTTATTGTTTGAAATATTTCTTTTAATCTCTAAAATATTATCATACGTAAAACATATAAGAATAAAATTGCATAAAAAAATTATTTTGATAATTTATTTTAAATATCTTAATTTGTATTTGTTTTTTTATCATAATGATATAATTTGTTGAATAAATTGTTTTACTTTAGCGATTTGTGCCAAACCGCTGGCGGGTTCAGAGTGACCAAGGTTGGATTTTACAGAGCCCACCATCAATGGTGTTTTTCTATTTTGACACAGAACGTTATGAATAGCATTGATCTCTTGAGCATCGCCAGCTGTAGTAGCAGTACCATGTGCTTCAATGTAATCCAAGTAGGGTGGTGGTACTTTGCACTCATTGTAAAACTCCGTTAATAAAGTGCTTTGCATGTGCGTCGATGGATACGTTATTCCTTCTTTTTTGTAACCGTCATTATTTAGTTTAGCATGCTTGCATATAGCATAAATTCGTTTTGCATTTTTAGCTTTTTGAAGGTATACCACGGACACTATTTCGGCACGCGTATAACCGCTTGCAGCATTATCAAAAGGTCTACAGTAACCATCACGTGCTAAAATACCTAAAATTATATACAGTGTTTATTTATATATTTACACATACAAAGTGTCCCATTTTAGTTTCAGTGTTTAAATCTTGAAAAATTTGAGTTTTTTGAAAAAATTTTTTAAATAAAAGTTTCAAGAGGTATGTACGATGCTGTATAAGGAGCCGGGCTCACTCAGAAGAGCCCGACAAGCGGACTGGCGAATGGCGGCCAAGGTTGTCATGCCCGAGAAGGTCAAGTGGGTAATTAACACATTTAAGCCCTACAAGTCAGCGGGACCGGATGGCATCTTTCCGGCTCATCTACAAGAGGGACTGGAACAGATCGTGGGCCCACTGACTCGAACCTTAAGGGCCTGTATCGCGATGGGCTACACACCCAGCGCATGGAAACTGGCCAGGGTAGTTTTCATCCCAAAGGCGGGAAGAACGAGCTACACCAAGGCAAAGGATTTCAGGCCAATTAGTCTAACATCGTTTCTCCGTAAGACATTGGAGAAGCTGGTGGACGCGTATCTGAGGGAGACAACTTTGTGGAGGCACCCTCTCCACAAAAATCAGCACGCGTATTGTTCGGGCTATTCCACCGAGACTGCTCTACATCAGACGGTAGCGTTTATTGAGGAGCAGCGTTTATTGAGGAGCAGCTGGAAAGGAAGGGCTACGCAGTGGGTGCTTTCTTGGACATAGAGGGCGCCTTTAACAACACACCGCACGAGATAGTGTGTGAGGAAGCCGCCAGAAGAGGTGTCTCGATGAAGCTCGTCGAGTGGATCCGGGGCATGTTAGGAAGGCGTGTGATGACATCGCTGGGAACTGCGAAAGTCTGTGGGTGGGTGGGAAGAGGCTGCCCGCAGGGCGGAGTGCTTTCCCCATTTTCATGGTGCCTGGTAGCAGACGGATAATTAAAGGCACTGGACGATAGAGGCTTTACTGCACAAGGCTACGCGGACGACGTGGCAATACTTGTGCGAGGCCCTTTTCTAGAGACGCTTCTAGAGCTCATGCAGGGGGCACTGGAAGTTGTAGAAGAGTGGTGTCAGAGGACAGGTTTAGCGGTGAATTCACTGAAAACCGGTCTTACTGTCTTCACTCGCAAATACAAGGTGGGCACCATTGTGGGACCCACTTTTGGAGGAGTAAGGATAGTTCCGACTGAATCAGTGAAATATTTGGGAGTTATCCTGGATAGGAAGCTGCTTTGGGAGGAGCACCTTCGTAATCGGTGCAAAAGCTTGTGCCAGTGTTTTTGGATGTGCAGAAGGACCTTTGGCCAGACTTGGGGTTTGAAACCGAGTATGATACACTGGATCTACACAGCCATACTTCGCCCCAGACTTACATACGCAGCCGTAGTATGGTGGACTAGGGTGCGAAAGAAAACAGCCAAAGTTGCGCTGGAGCATGTCAGGGCTCTGATTTTGAGAGGGGCCCTGGGTGCTATGGCTACGACACCAGTGGCGGCGATGGACGTAATGTTTGGCATCGAACCGTTTCACCAGGTGGTGGTGGCTGCGGCAGCAATGGCGACATACCGTTTAAGATGCGAACTAAGATGAAAGAAGAAAGCCCGGCATACGAGGCTGCCGGAAGACGTTCTGTTGGATCCGATATTCGAGATGCGACAGGACAGAATATCTATTATTCGGGCTTCTGATAAGCGC